TGTGAGGTTAGTTTAGGGTCAGGTAGGTACCTGTGAGGTTAGTTTTAGGATAAATGGTCAGGGTTAGGTATAAAATTACCAAAAAATGAATGGAAGTCGATGTAAAGTCCTCACAAAAATAGAGAGATTGTGTGTTTATATAAACTTTATATTCATACAGAGAAACATGATGCAGCTTCACTTTTGCCTGGATTAAGTGTTAAACTCAGGGTGGTCCTGGTCTGAGGGTGGTGATCTTTACACACACACACACACACACACACACACACACACACACACACACACACACACACACACACGTCAAAGCAAAACAAAGCAGAGGAGACTTATGCCTCACAGCTGCTCTTATACAAACCCAACATGTTTGTTGAACGTGGGATTTCCTGACTGTCTGTAAACGCACCAGTGTTGTGTTCATGTGTACAGTTTGTCCTGGAGGGACTGCAGGAATGTCCCCTGATGTTGGACAGCTGTCCCCCTCAGGGGACACCAGAGGGACAGGTTATTGATGAGAGGACAGGTTCCTGTGATCTGATCAAAGGTTCTGGATCAGTTCCTGTTCCTGAACCTTCTCAGAGGAAAGCTTTGACCTCTGACCTGATTCAGACTCATGAACTGGAGTTGAAAGTTTCACCAAGCATCAGAACCAGAACCAGAACCTTTCAGTCACATTTTTCTTTTCTTTGATGTTTTTATAGTTTGTTTTCTGTAAAACCAGAACTGACCAGAACTGTTGCTGCTGACTCTGCTGTCAGAATCAGGTCTGGGTTCGCCTGAAGGGTCCTATTTGGACCCTGCAGGTTCTGGGTTCTGAGGTCTGGTATGAATTAGATGATGTGACACCGCTGACCGGCCTTTCACAGCTCATTGCAGGCTGTCCAATCAGAGCGCAGCGAGCGTGACGGCTGTTTATTTATTCACAGAGCTGGAAATGGACCGGACCTGAAACACTGGAACCCTTCAGAACTCTGAACCCATTAGCACCCGGCTGGTTCTGGAGCAGCAGGTTCTCCTTGTTTTTCTGTAAAACCTTTAGTTTAAATGTTCTGATGGAGGCAGGAGGTCAGGAGATCTGCAACCAGCTCAACAAGAAGAGAAACTCAACCAAACAAGACGTTTTTGTTTGAAACATTATTTATTGTTTTCTTCAGTTTGAGTGAATTATTCAGACATGATGACAGCAGGAAACGTAGTGCAGATAGATTCACACAAGAAAACTTCAAATCACACAAACCATGCCTTTAAGTTCTTACTGGCTGTAACGGGGCGAGGCGTTCAGGTACCCAGAGTTTAAATAAAATGTGACATAAACATTAAGAGTCGTGCAGGAGGAGGATAAACACTGAATGTAGCTGCAAACATCAAACACTCATGATGACTTTAAATCACTTCTAAATATGTTTACAACAACAACAACAACAACAACAACAACAACAACAACAACAACAACAACAACAACAAGATGGGATTATTTACAGAAGAGAATCACTGCCTCCTGCTGGACGGATGGAGGAACAACAACTCATCAGTTCGAGCTGCAAAGGGTTAAACCAGGAAAGGCACTTATGGGGAGGGAGGGGGGGGGGTCTCATAATACCAATAAATAAAATCATTAACTAGAAATAAACTCTGGTGTCAGTTTTGATCTGATGAACAGAAAAACCTCAGATTGTCTGTCAGTTTTCGTTGCTTCTTTCCATCAGATTTCAGCTGATTCACTGCAGGATCTGCTGAGTCACTGCAGGATCTGCTGAGTCACTGCAGGGCTCTCTTCAGGCTCACGGCTCGGATCAGCTGCTCGACTCGACGCTCACGGTGGGACACGATGGAGGGAGGGGTTTCCAACACGAACACGAACCAGGACAGGAAGTTCACTCCGCCGCCATCTTCTCGATGTGCTCGCTCAGCAGCTTGTACTGTTCTGCAGAAAGTCCAAACATCTGGGTCAAAACTACGAGTGAGCTCTGAGATAAACCCACAGCCTCACAGCATTTATTCACCTGCTGGAAACCACTTTAGAATAACGAAAACCAGCTGAAAACAGGAGGACACATGTTGACACATGTTGAGACATGTTAAGGACATGTTGACACAAGTTGAGACATGTTGAGGACATGTTGACACAAGTTGAGGACATGTTGAGGACATGTTGAGGACATGTTGACACATGTTGAGGACATGTTGAGGACATGTTGAGACATGTTGAGACATGTTGAGGACATGTTGACACATGTTGAGGACATGTTGAGGACATGTTGACATGTTGAGGACATGTTGACACATGTTGAGGACATGTTGAGGACATGTTGAGGACATGTTGAGGACATGTTGACACATGTTGAGGACACATGTTGAGGACACATGTTGAGGACACATGTTGAGGACACATGTTGAG